GCTGGGTGTAAAACCTGCTTAGTTCATAACCTTGGGATTTTATTTTAGTGGAGCTATGCATGTACACTTTAGAGGAGTGTTTTACTCTGAGGAATCGACCTCCCATAGCTTCATATTTTTCTGTCATTCTTGAAGTAAAATCGGTTCACTACGAAAGCTCCACTGAGGTAGAATATGTGATTCTTTTTGTCAGTAGACAGGTATGATAAGTATGAGAAAATGAATACTGGTCACTTTGTGGAATAGTGTTCTCTGAGCTGGTTGGTTTAGTTGCGAAGCTTTCGTCGTCATTCTAGACAACATCTTCAGCGCCATATATAGTACAAAGTGAGATGATTTAAATTTCTTCATGAGTGATATAAATGCGTCTCCTGGTAACTGTCTTTACATATGTATTGACCATTTTCTATTGACTTGGATTTTAAACTTTCTGGTCACCTGATTTACTTTTTATTAGTTCGTATATTTCGTCTATATTAACGTGCTTATTAATTGCATTTTTGTTTGAGTACCAGGCTTCTAGAAATTTCCTGGTACTTTTGGTGTTTCCTCTGTCTAAGATTTTGACATTATCCCAATCAAATTGATGACCATATTTGTCTATATACATTGATACTAAAGAATACATATCGTGTCTTTTCACGGCTGATTTGTGTTCTTGAATTCTGATTCGAAGGGGACGCCCACTTTGGCCGATGTAATGCCTGTTACAGTTCATACAATTTATTTTGTAAATGGTATTATTTGTTGAACAATATGAATCAAAAATGGGCGCAATGCAACATGCTTTATGAACTCCGTCATTATTTATTCAGTAAAACTGAATAATACAATATCGAAACATTATCATTAGGCAGTCGAATTCTAATGAAAGTTTTTGTTTTCGTGCGGTAAACTAATTATACATTCATTCCTCTCTTATTACACAAAGTAAAGTCTAGCTGTTTCATTGCAGTGAAAAGGATGAGAGAATAGTGAATCCAATGAAAGTATACAACAGTGTTTTTTAATTTCATGGAAATCTTTCAGACTAAAATCGACTCAACTAGCAGTTTTACTTAAGATGTTTGGAGTAATACAATGTCCAGAATGTGAATATAGTTGTAGTATTACCAGGATTGATGCCGTTTTGTTTTAGAGACTTCAGCAACATTCTTTTCATTATTTCTGGTATGTATGAAAGCAAATACTAAATACCTGTTCAGCTACTTTCCTCTGTTCCACAGGATTAGGTAAGCTTAATACTGACCTCTTCCAGTGTACTTACCTATCCTTAACCGCGGTAGGAACCTCACTCCGTGAAAACAACCTGATTGTCACTGGGCCTTCAAAACAAAGAAAAAAAACTTATTCTCGACTGGAAATGCCATGACTCCTCATTTCGACGACAGATAACACCGGTGGTTAAGAGCCTTTCTGGAACTGTTAACCTGGTGCGTTTTCTTTCGGTGAAAACGAAAATAAACGTGAGGACATGGAATGTCTGCATAATGTTTGAAAGTTACTGACTAAGCTGTTCAGATTGCAAAAGAAATGAGAGGATGTGGTAAAAAATTGTTCAGAATCTGTGAGGCCAGTTTCAATGGAAGCGGACTTTCCATATTCTTGACTTGAGAGTTAACAGTCTACTCCGGCCGACCAGACGATAACAGCGAACACCCTGAAGATTTGGCTATCATAATATCCTCGACAGTATCTACAATATCAACCAATCTCGCACAGAATAATGAAAGCAAGATTCAACTAGAAAATAATGATAGTAACAATTACACCATGCTACACATCCATAAAGCACGTGAACAGAGAGAAGAAAGACGATTTTTATAAGCAACTGCAAGTAGTAATAAATACGACCCTAGATGTTGATATGAAAATTCCACTGGAAGATATGAATTCCGGATAAGCTGACAGCAGACAACACAGGAAGACTATTCTTAGTACGCAACATACAATAATATAAGTACCGTATAAAACTAAATAAGAGAAAAGAAAGTGCACAATCAAACACTGAAAGTGAAATAAAAACATTCATTTTCTCTCTTTTTTTTTCTTTGGCAGGATTATCTGATCTAATCAACTGGATTCATCTACATCCTGAAAAATATCAGTTCAAAGGTTTTGACAGTTATATTGAAAATCTAGTGAATACGAATTCTTTACTACACACACTTTGTGTGAATTATGAACGGGGTCAATATTTTCTCAGCACATGATATTCATGTTGAATAAATAGTTAAACACAATGGAATATAATTAATCAGATCGTATACATTTTTTTACATTGATAGGCTAATATGTAGAGCTTTGAATGAACTTACGACATTTTATATAAATGCCTTAAAATCCTGCAAGAAAATTTCCCTTAGTGTACATGAAATATTTCGTTTTCTCTCATGTGCATTTCTTTTTTATCTTTCTCTTTCTCTTATAAGTTCCTTTTTATATGAATAAGTACTTCTTATATGTATTTATGTCAAATCAGTGGTTCGATATAGTTTAGAGACCGTGTACGCACAACAAATAGCGCATTTTCAACAACGTGCTGCATATTTTTATCTCCAGCTGCCTTCGCTCTACACTGAAGGTTAGATAGTCACCCATAAAATATAAGCAACAAAGAACTCTAGCACCAAATCAATCGAGAGCCTATTGTCCAGGAAATACGCAGAAAGAAATAGAAATGGATTGATCATAAGCTGAGGCAACCGTTGGGTAAAGACAGCATGCGATAGGCCCTCGAGAAAGACCCATGTAGCAAAGGACGAGTTGAGCATACTAGGATCACAGTGGAGAGATTGTGTGTGTGGAGGAGATGAAAGCCTATGGCTAATAATGGATCTAGCTAACTATGACTGCTGAAAACAGGATGAAATGTACTGTTGAGGCCTTCTGTTCCATTTGGAACCCAAGGGAATAATAATAATAAAAACACATGCACTCATGTAGTAAAATTAAGAAATCGAATTGTTTACTGGAATATGAATGATTTCAAAGTAGACTTAGTCAGAGACTGATATCAGATACAGAACAAGTGTGAACTAACTAATCCAGTACAGATATTTCTTCTCAGTTTTTAATTCTTCACTAGTAACTGATTATGACGCGACTAGTCATTAAATCCAAAGCCGTCAGTTTATGAACCTAAGATGTTATCTCTTACTCTTTTGGTTGAAATCTAACTGTCTATTGAATCTACGTTTCATAGATTTGCAAATGCTAACGTGCTTACAATGAAAACATAGGGGCATTCGGTTGAATATTAGTCGGTTTCTAAAAGTCTTAAATTGAGAAGAACAGACCCACTAGTTCTCTATGTTTTTCCATATTTCCTTTAACTTAATTCTGTTAGAAATGAAATCTTACCTTTACGATTTTATATTTGAATAGTTTCTAATTTCAATTTTTAAATTTGTGGTATAACTTTAAAAGTGGTCCTGTTATGTACATTTCATAGTGGTTTGATAAATATTTTAATTATACTAAACTTTATCACCATCATTTTACCACGTTATTATGAATAACTGTTTCTTCGTGTTCAGGTGCTTTTCTTACATGGGTCTGGTTTGTTACATTTAGTTAAATTCTTGTGCTTTCATATTTTGAACTTATGAAACGATTCTATTCGGAGTGAAAAACATACTATGAAAGAGGTAATTGATAAAATTGTCTTAAAATGCTTTATACCACAAAAAATGTTTAAGATTTAATACAGAGGTAAGTTACGAATGGTCGTTGCCATTCATGGTTTCAGATATCCCATAAATAGAGACAATAAATCGTATGAATACATTTATACAGTAGCAAGTAATCAAAAGTGTTCGAAGCGTCGTCAATAAATGGTGTATTAACAGGAATACACAGTTTCGACTTATGACCGTTTTACAGTAGTACTAATGTGCAAAACCTACACTGAAATAAGAGATTTAAGGGGTATGCAAAATCTGACCAGTTGGTGAGATGCACCAAAAAGTGATAATTTATCCCCGACGTAATTCTGAAGAACCTCATATTTTAAAGAATGAATGTTAAGACGCCTGATTCGTCTGATATTACTGTTGCGTTTCCTTTGTCTGATTTTGTGATTACTATATCCTTGTTATTGTTGAGGTGTTTTAGGGCTTGTGTCTCTGGTTTCGTCAGGTTAGGCTTTCCTCGTTTTTGTCGTTTTATTGCTAGTGCACACCGTGCCCGTACTTCATCAGTCGTTGTTTTGTCTATCCCACTAAGTGATATTTCTATTTTAAGGATGACATCCTCAGGGTTCAGTTTGTCTACCTCTACATTAAAATTTAGTCCTTTTTCTAATACATTTATTTCTGCGGGACTCAATATTTGTGTTGAGAAATTGATAACCCACTTTGTTTTATCGATCACCGTCGACTTTAGATTGCTGATTTCATCGTTCTGAGATGAAGATTTCTCCTCTAATAATTTATTGAAGTTTTTGATTTGAGTATTTTTTGACTTTTCGAAAGTTGCTGATTTCGCATTGCTAGAGGGCTGTTTATAAGATCATAATCCACATTGGTAACTATTCTCATTGGCTTTTGCTTTAACTGTTCAATTTCATATCTGATATGTTGCAACGTTTTAACAATTCTGTGGGTCTCTTCTTTGAGGCATAACTTTTGTAGATTTTCCGTTCTGCTTCTAACTCTGTCCGTCGGAACTAGAGCTCTTAGACATAGGTATTTAGGAATGATTTCATTTTTCAAGCATCGAATGTTGAAAATACGATGATTTTCATATCTCGCTACAGTTTGTGAAAGTCAAGTGAGTTTGTTGATTGGTCTTCGTACAGGAAGACCATAAATCATATAAATATGTGTGTAGATGATCTACTTCGAAGTCTATAATGAAACTTCTGCATTAATAAAGTATCTTACACATCACGTGAAGCTTTCATGTTTTTCTTACTCTTAAGTTACATATAAATGAGGTGGAATATAACAAAAATCACCACACAGGTGAATATTTGCCATAATATACAACAAACTTACCACCTAGAAGCATAATACAAATTGCAAATATTTTCTCATTTGTTGTATTCGCTGAGACATTACCAAATCCAACAGATGTAAGACTGCTGCATGTAAAGTATAAAGCAGTGAAATACTTTGATCCCTCTGATGGTCCACCAGATCTGTTTAGCCCAAAAGGGGTTTTCAGTCGTCGTGCTAAATCCTTAAGCCATCCTAAATGAAATGTGAAATACAAAAACAGGGTAAACATTTTTAAATTTAAAGTTATGCGAAATAACATTCCACTATGGAAAGTTGATTTTCTGAATCAAATTACTGAATACAAAGAAGCATCAATGGCTACACCAAAAACAGAATGTATTTGCATCAGATTGTAAGAGAAGTATGTTAAACATCATATTTATTACTAGCAAATTAGTTATACAACTCAAAGTGAATATTCACCACTGATTCCTTTAAAATCCAGATATGTTAAGATCAAATTATATGATCAGCTGAGTACCGTAAACGTTAATCAAGAAGGCAAGAATTATTTAATCATTGCATATACTACTGTTTTCCAACTACTGATGTCAGTCAGTAGTATACACCAACAAACAATTACTTCTGCTTTCTTAATTACCACATATAGTATCAAGCAGATCACATCACCAGATCTATATATTTAGGATTTCGTAAAGCCAACTGTGGTGAATTTTTACCACAAGTTATACAATATGTAAATGACAAATTTCATTCTATATGATATCATGTCGCCCAAATAGTTAATCAGTATTCAGATGGTTGCAGCTTGTTATAGGCCCCCAGTTTTACCTGTATCCTAAAATAATTTCTCCGTAAGCGTGAATTACTGTTCTCTTCCCTTTTAACATTGTTTCTGAAGACTAAGTATTGACTAGTCGTTCTTTCTTTAATCCTGTCAGTGAACTTGGTTTTAGTCAGAATCATCCAGACTGTTTATATTCAGCATCGCTGTCAAGTTTATGTAATTGGAAAGATGAAATCCTTCTGTCGACGGCTCTTCTTCTTATCTTTGCCACTGAAAGTATGATTAGCAACTAGACAGAAATCATTGGCCTATTTGGTTCATTTCACTGGGGAAATAATGGGCGGCATTATTAGTCTCAAGACAAATTATTCACTGGAGCCTGATCGAGTACTTTGATATCAATGTACCTAGAGAGCAATACTGCTCAAAGTAAGCAATTTCAGTACTATGTTGACAATCAATCACTGGGTCAGCAGGAATACAATAGCCTGTGATTCCCATAGTTTTCGGGTTTCTCACTGAACTCAGAGTCAGATAATCTGTGATGCTACTTCGCCACCGTAATTCAACTATATTTAACTCTCTGTGTTGTGTGGTTGTTGGTAGCGTGTAAACTCGCACACGTGCTGTAAGAACAAAATTGGAGCATAACAGGACATATTAATTTGATGAATAATGCAGCGGCACAGTATTATTTATATATGGATGATGTTTTGAATACAGTTTATTCCTCATAATCTCGTCAGTTGTGTCAAATAACTTTAAGAACTTTGTTACACAGTTCTTTTATTTATTATTCTTTGATTCTATTGATAATGATGCCTTCTGTACCTCTTTGCTATTGTAGTTACTTCATTTCTATTGCATTTGGTAGGTGTAGATTCAATGAACAAGGACTCAGTGAAAGACCATTTTCCACTTCTTAACTGCAGTAAGTCTAAGAACTGTAGCTCTGTTCTACCCACATTGAATGACTGCGTGTTATTATATCCATTACAACTGCTTTTATTTTTTATGTTTTTTTTATCCATTCTGGAATCAGTCATTCTGCATTTAGCCAAGTTCTTAAGTTCCGATAATCTGACCGCCCCTACCTACTATATGCGTCTGTATAGTTTACTTCATAGTCACTGTTTTGTTTTATCTGGTCAGTGAGGCCCACTAGTCTGTAAAGTCTGTTCCCGAGCGACTGCAGGTTATAATACCACCGTGATTTTCTGCTTTATTATTAATCTTACATAGACTTTTAATCAGGAATTTCAAGACGTGATTGATTTTTTACTTGAAACCATTCATGTCTGCACTATCGTCCAGTTTAGGAAATAAGCGCACATACACTTCGATCATAGATACTGCCTAAATTAGTTCGCAAGTTGAAAATTAGTCATTATAAGGATACCAATTAATATAAGTAAGATTTTTGTGTTTTATTCAGATAAGCATAACTTATTTCAGTTTGAATATGTTCGATTTGAAAGTTATTCTTTGAACTATACATCTAGCCCTTTACAAATCCTTTTTATTTATTGAAACTACACGTCACTTCGAGACACTCTTAACTGGAAGAGAAAGATGCTGTTTTTGTAACTGCTTAATAAAAATAGTGGGGAAAGTATACGCATTTTTCTAAATTACCACAACATCAATGGCTGCTAATAAAGCTAAGGAAATGATTAAATTTTTCAGAAAAATTATAAAGTAAATTTAAATGGTTCTCCATTACTGAGATTTCTAGGATAATCTGGTATATAAATCTCTGTTTTCAGTACGACCGATGTCAGTTACCAGTTCCCATAGTTGCAAAAGCTGACATGTCAACAGAGACCGAAAACTTCGGTCCACTTAATCAATGGAAAAGCTGATATTGAATTAAACGAATACGAATAGAATTCCTCTATTATCTCTAGCAGAATGCCATCAACAGGATGATATGGTTGAGATTAATTCTCCTGCATCGTATGTTATTTCATGTAAACAGTAATAGATATGGACAGAGAATGCCCAAAATACTACAAATGCAACTGAAAAAAGTTTGTTTTGATTCTAAGAAACGTTTATAATAATAATATTCAAGTGTGGTTCACTTAACATCTGGAAATGATAAATATGATATCCTTCTGAACAGATGTGTGAAGAAATTTATCTCTACATAATTTGCATTTTTTGCAACTAGGGAATTTTAAATGTGCCTGCAGGAAATAACACACATTTAATTTCGAAGTAAATAGTTAACAGCTACTACACATTCAAGAGGAGAGGAAATTTCAGTGAACAGTTGTTTTCAATAATTTCTTCTTCTTCATGCTCTGAATTTCTAAATTGATGAAAGTGAGAATACAAAGGCCAGTAAAAGGCAAATCAAAGTTATACTAGAAACCATATTCAGGTACGAGTATAAGACGGAATAAAGGTCTGTTGGCTTCAATTTTCATTTGAGTGTGTATATAAACTGTCAGTCACTAAGATCATGAGGTAAAATATGAATAGGCAATTAAGTGACCTTCCTGTGAATCAATGAACATAATTTAAGCAAATAGGTATTATCAGTAATTTATCGTCACACTTCACGATTGCGTAATAAAATATCAGTCTTAGACACTTGAGATCAATGTGGCCAATAGAAATAAAATTCAGGAGTGTGAATTTTTGTTGATTTGCTTTCCTTTCCGAGTGAAACGGAGGTCTTAGAGTTAGAGCTATGAAGTTTCGGTAGCAGTGATTTTATTATTTTTACCGGGTAGGGTTGATAGCCTTCCCTCTTTACCGGCCTTACTACCGGCTTAGCAAGGTCTAGAAGTGCATCCGAAGAGGGACGAATCCCGGACTACATAAGTAGTTGGCAAGCCTTCTACCGCCAAAGCACCAACATACAGGAGTGTGAATAAGTGGACAGTAATCAAGGTGATATTAACAATAAAAAGAATAAATTCTTTCAAGTGTTTATATAACCTAAATAGTCACTCGTGTCGACTGTAAAAGTAGAATATGTATAATTGTAGGGGTAGAGGGGGAATTAGGTAGTTGAGTTTGACTTTTATAATAAATGGGGAAACTAAGATTGATAGTTATGTCCAGCTAGGCAGAAAGCTTCAGAGTTGAACATATAGAATTGCACCTTCATTGTTTCATGTCACTATATGTGTAGCTTATTGATTAAAAAATGCTTCCTTGTTACTTGTGTCCTGGTAACGCTCATTCACCCTAATGTATTTGCGTCGGTGGCACAGAGGTAGAATGTTCATCAATTGTGCAGGTGGTTCAAGGTTTCATCCCGCGGACGGCGCACTCTTTTACCTCACTAAGTCACTAATAAGCCTGGTAAAGAGGGAACGTTTGACATGAGGCTAACAACCCCAGCCAGTAAAAATAGACACCACTGCCACCGAAACTTCAAAGTTCAGGCTTGAAGCCTTATGTCCTATTGGGAACTTAAAGGAATGAAAAAAACACTGGTGTATTCTGGAGGTCTGCTTTCACATCACTTCCCATTTTCATCGAAATACCAATGTAACTGAACAGCTTGATAATACGGTCATCAAAAGTAGAACATCTTGACTTATTCAATTATTTGTATGGCTTTTTCACAAAAGGAACGCCAACTTAATATACTTGATGTATTCACAAATAAATGAGAATGATCTAATCTTTTCTACAAGTGTTCCGTTTATCATAGCAGACAAAAAAATACAGAAAGGTGAATATCTTTATGAATTTTCTTTTTGAATTTTAATTAGATTTCCTCATTCTGATTATTTATTAGTGGAATCAAATAAATTTGAGGTTAAAATTAAGGTGTATTTTCGCTTTTTCTTGCGTATTTTTTCTGAAAATTAAATTATTCCAGACAGTATATCAATGCAAAGTTTGCCTTTCATTTACTGATTCATAGACAAAACTACAGATGCTTGATGAAATAAACATCTTTGCGTACATAAAGTGTAGGCTGATTTGTTTCAGACCACAATCTTTCTTCATAAAGAAGAATAAATTTATCGTACTAAATAGTATTCTACTTCTTGACTTTTCCACCTTAATCGTGTCAATTGTGGTATGGAATTACAATAACATATTTTCCGACAATATGGTTGATGAATCTAGGGAAGGTGCCCCTCGTGTTTTTAAGCACTTGGCTTCCAATTAATGACTTCTAGGTTTCAATCTTGTTCTGTCTAAATCATCTTCGGCAACTGGATAGTACCAATAGGTATGACAGTATTGAGCCTTGCCTACATTCTAGTGGGAGGAAGAAATGGTCAATGGAACTCATTTCGAACGTTGTTTTAGGATATAATGACGATATTCCACTGCTGATTTACTGAATATTGTCATATTTTTCGGTGGTGCGGCTTTTTATGAATAGAATGGATTCGACTGAAAACATTTCATCGTCTTTCTAGACAAAATTACTTTTTTCATAAGTGAATGACTACCTCATCTGATGGCT